CGCGTTTTTTTGGACCCTGGCAATAATTATGAACACTTGAGTTTTGCATTTTCCTAAAATCTTTAATAGCACCCTCGTTCTTCGTATGTAAAACCGTAATAGGAAAGACAACTATGGAGAAAACGATTTATGTAATTGCAAAGCAAAAAAGAGAACAATGAAAGGTTGAATTTTTTGAAAGTTTTAACACTTCATGTGGACCATTATGTAGATGAAGGCTAGGTTTAATGACTTGAAAAATCTTGAGAAGTTTTCGATTAGGGTGAAGTCATCCAACCCCAGCACGTGAGTGCATAATTGTTAGGCTGACTGCTTGTCACGAAACAGAGCACTAATGATTGAAGACATAATTTTATATGTCGCTTCATGTGATAATGATGATTTAGGAAAGAAATAAGTCTTTATGTTAGAGTCCAACTTATCTGCTGAAAAAGCAATAAGCTTATTCAACCTTTGCTCTACAAATGAAGGAGATGCTATAGCACTGCTACTTTTGGATTGAGTGTGAACTAAAAGAGAAGAGGAATTTCCCAATGCGCCAAAAATCCAATTTACAAGATGGACATAGCAACAAGCATTTGTATAAGAGCAAATATCTCACAGACTCAATTTGTCTGAGACTTCGGAACTTTTGACCCTCTAATTTATCAATTCTAGACAAGCTATAGCTGCAGCGGAGCATTTTCATCACTTTTTTCTCGGAGAAAAAATTGGAAAATATGGATTTCACAATTTCTCTGCATTCGGAAATGAGAAGGTAACAAGTGGTCAAAGTTTTTTCTTGTGAACTATATTTCCATGCAAATGTTCCCGGATAGGAGACCCTAAGGAATAGCTCGTATAGATGATCGAAAAATGTTGATATATGTATATACGATCTCTGTGATGCAATTTTGACTGCAGTGACTGCAAAAATTTGAGCCTTTGTGGGGAAAGGTAAAAAAATCATAGGACCAATGCAGATTACGAAATTTTCCCTGGATTCCACCTTGTATTATCCGCGTTGATTCGGCTAATTTCAAATTTTTGTGTATACTCTAAGTTAACTAGATTTCTAAAAAAAGACTGAGAGGATGGAACGATACTAGATTAAGCCTCTTTTATTTTTCAAGTAATTAACCTCAAATATGGCTTGGACTAGGGTGAAAAAATGTTGCATATATGAAAAAAAAATGGACCACTAAATATCTAGCTGTTACTAAGTAAAGGAAACACCTTTACTCGTGCTAAAGGGCGAAAATAGCCTCTGTGCTTACGTATGCCGGTAGCGGAAACGAACGCTTAAGTCTCAACCGAGAAGTAATTTGGTCATACCTTTGCTCTAAAGACGACGGAGACTATTCCTGATGCAATGAATAGGAAGACAAGTGCTTGCACTTTGGCGGTGATTATGTCTACTATTTGGACGGAAACTCAAGAAAAGAAAACTGGTTTTCGGACTGGAATCGGCAGAGAATGGGGACTAGCTCAACTTGAAGATTGTCCATTGTTTTCTCAAGGATAAAAATATAAAGTCACTTCGAAAGCTATTCTTGTTATCCACCAATCTTGCATGAACGTCAATTTTCGCAAAAAAAAACACTTTAGAAAAGCTTTCCGATTCTTCGAGAGTTCGAAACCAGCAGCAGAGTGTACACTGTCATTTCCAGCAGACCTAAGTAACTTTTCACATTCGGTTCTTCTGCACCAATACTTAGTAACTATATTTGGGAGATAAAGTTTTTGACCTCTTCACTTCACTAGGAAAAAAATTGTTCAAAGCAGCATAGGTACACACAGAGTGTCCCAGAAAGTGCATGAAACTTTTGATCGCTGTTTATTCTCGTAATCAAGTTTTAAGTAGCAAACTGTAGAGCTAACTTCAGCTTAGATCTGCGGTCCAAAAACGCATTCGACGCTCTTTTTCAGACAATTCACCGGAACTTCCAATATAAGCACACTTTGCAGCGGTTCCGCAAGGATTTGTTTATCATTACAGAGGAAGTAAGAACGTTAGAAATGGGAAATTCCGCACGGTTTTCACATCGATCTGGTTGAAAACGGGAACTTCCGGAGAATTTTTTACAGAATTCCGAAAAATTCCAGCGGTTTCGCAGCATTACCCTGCCAGTACTTGCGCAGGTTTTCAAATGTGTTGTCTCTTGGTTTTGCGCGAAAGAAGACTAGTCCTTTTTAAGAAGCAATTTTGCACATGTTGGTGGAGCAGTTTAGATGATATAATTCGATTATTACTATTTATTGGAAGAAACGCTACCATATACTCATCCTAACTTTCGAATCAGATATTACGGTGACAGGAAAAGTTCATTTGTGAATCGAACTGCGTTACTGAAACCGGTAAAAATGTTTTCAGCTTTTTCGGACAGTTTATTGAAGCAGTATGTGCCTTTATTGGTGCAGAGTTCTTTTAAAACATCATTGTAATCCTTAAGTGGTGAAGAGGAAAGGGTAATTCGCTTTGTACGACATACCAGGCCAGCCTACAATACGGTATCGAATCTGCACAAACCTTTCACCAAGAGAGTCATCAGCTATCGAACGTTTATATTTTTGTGTTACCCTATATAAATGCAAGATCTCCTTTCTCGCATGCACGAATTCGCCATTTTTCTGAATAAACAAAAAGCAGCAGAAAAAATGATGAATCCACAAGTGGCTCGATTGAAGTAAAAATCGTATTAGCAATTATTAGGTTGCCCCAAAAGTAAACTCCTTTTTCCAAAAACTCAAGCTGTTTTTGTTTTCCTAGTACATTTAGGATATCATTCGATAGAGCAGATCAAGCTCTACAAATGACCTCCAAGGGTCAGCCTAAGTCGCCTTCCGTATAAAGTTTGAAGCCAAAATCGACAAAAATTTTGTCACCTGAAAATTGGATTTCTGCGACAAAGAATCCTGCAGACCTCCAACTTGGTCATTACATTAGGCATATAGGCGTGCACAAATATGCCTTTAACAAATTTTTTCCGAGCATAGAAAGCGAGAAACAAAAATTTCCCAAAAATGGCAAACTCCGCCCCAGCCCCTCCCACATATGTCACTGTATACTACAAGCCTTGCTAAGTATAATTTCAAAACCTTACTTCTGTATGTGCTCTTATAACCGAGAAATACCAAGTTTTACATTTAAAAAAACCCGAAAAAAGTGACATTTTGGCCTTTTGAGACCCTATTCGTTTCTCAGTTTTGAGCCCCGGAACAAATCCACAAAATACATTTTTGGGTACTACTACGTGTGGGGGGCAGCAGTCAAATATTTTCTGGATTCTATATTTACGCCATGTTAATGTTTAGGAATTTGGAAAAAAGACTGTGAGCTGGTATGCCTTAGTTCTTACTGTTCGACACCATTTTCAACCCAGTGAAGAATATATCGCTTCAAAAAATAAGACTTTAGACACGGGATATTGACAACCGCACGAGTACAGTATGCTTATTTCCAGCTATCGTTCATCTTGGCATACACCCCTACGTGTCTACTATATAAAGACCAAGTTGAAAGTCCGTAGGAATTTTCTGAAAGGAGATTCGATTTTTAGGGTAGCTGAAAAATTTTGATTTTTGGGTCCTAAATTTACCTAGGTTATGAATTAGGTGAAACTTTGGTAGTCATTTTGTGGAGCTTGCTGCGATCTACCGAATGGTATCCTAAATCTGTCAAAAAAAACAAAAACAGCTCAAGTTATTTGAAAATGGAGTTTACTTTTGGGACAACCTAATATTTGCCTCTTTTATACTTTGCGCAAGATTTCCCAAATTATTTTTTCATGTAGACACGAATGAACCTCTGTAAGGTCAAATGACTCCCAAAAGATGCAAATAACAACAAGAAGGGTGCAAAGATGAACTCCTTCTGAGAAATACAATTACCGTTCTTCGAAAAAATATGTGCAGTGTAAAGATCAAAAAAATGGCTTGTTGGAGAAGCAGGTTTCACTGAATGCGAATCAAGAGCCATTTCGTAACCTGGAAATTAAAGAGGTGAAAAACTTGATGTTCTCCTTCTTCAGCCATACATTTTCTGAACACTCGTATTCCACCAAAATGCAAGAAAGAGGAGTTACAGAGTGCATTAGACGATTTCATGGTTACAGCAGAAATTCTGTTCCAAACACATTTAGGCCAGCATTTCCCTAAGCATTAGGAGCTCGCATGATTTTCCTGTGATCGGAAAAACCATGCTTCAGCAAAGATACCAAAACGGAAATCTTCTCAATGTTTATAATGGTGTACACACTATCTGCACAGTGTCTTTTTTCTATATGTATGTTTATGCGCTCTGGCGCCAAATGATTCTTTTCTGCAAAATATTGCTATAGCACCGTAACATAGTTTACGCTCCTGCAGGAGTATTATTTTTGTGATTTTTTCAATGTTAGGACTTTTGATCTCCTCGTACGACCTCTCAATTAGTACGACTAGCGGAAACATTCCGTTTAGCCAGACTCGGCAGTTCGCAAACCATCTGCCATGCAAACTGCTGTGCATATCTGAACATGGATGTAGCTTCCGCGACACACCTTCATTGCCTTCAGCACTTCCTCGAAATTCATCATTGTTGTTGTAACACATTCTGGCATGACTATAGGATGTGACCTTCTACTTTTTATGAAAGTAAATCCAGGGTATGAAAAAATTAGAATGCGTTTTTTAGATGAGTACAGATATTTCTTTCTCCATGATCCAGTTTTGCGGAAAATGTTGCAACTTTTCATTTCTCATTCGTTAGTGTTCGACTTATGCTTTAAAAAAACGATAATGCAAAATGAGAAGTTTGTTTGACATATAATATATCAATTTTTATACATTTACACCTAAGCAATTCATTGAGTCCTTCACAACATTCTCCGCCATATTCGGCTACTTTTTAATTTTTTTGGGAGAATCATCCAGTTTTCGTCCTCCGTGTCACGACTATTAAATTCTACTTTTCATGTCTTTTGTAAAAACCTTCCCATTCCAATGATAATTCAAGAGCACACGTCTTCCTGAAGTTCGCAATGCTACCCGTCATCGTCTGGCTCTTCCTAATATCACTTACCCGGTGTGAGGACCCGCCATCCTCTCAGCTACAACCCCCAAGAGTCAGAAATCGCAGAGCTGTCGACTTGTGCAAGGTCAGCCGTTTACGGCTAAGTTTTTACATAGAACTGTAGGTAAAATAATACATTCAGCTTCCGATGGATAGTGGCAGCTGTTCAAGGGAGCTAATTAGATACTACTATGATGCAGCTGACGATGACTGCAAGAGATTCACATACTCGTAAGTCCTAAGTGATTTACGTATGGCTTAGAATGCTAAATTTGAAATGTTTGTCATTCTCGATAATTCTAGCACTTAGAGATTCTAGTGACAGCCTGGAGTTGCTCCATGTGAGATAAACGCATAGAATTTTTGAATTCTAAAAATAAGTATCATCATATATGTTCGATTATTTCAGTGCTATATCTTGATACTGTAGTCTTTGATTCAGAAGATAAAAGTACTATTTTTGAATTTTTAGTAGATTGTTGAAGTGAGGGTCAATTACCTTTGGTAAAGCATAGAATCTTAACAGAGAACGAAACTTGGTAATCCCGGCCACTCATAATGGTTTGTACATCAAAAAATGCGCCTTTTAATGCTGATTCAAATACTTTTTTCCGTATCTGCGAAACGAGAACCTGGATGGAGTTATGATTATTTTTTCAAGAATTAATTGCATTACAGCGGAGGGTGAAAATCATTAATAAAAGTTTTCCTTTGCTATTCAATTGCTGAATATGGTTCAGATAAGTACAAATACAGTGTAACACCTTCCAAGATTCTCCTCAATAGCTTCGAATGGTAGAATAGATCAAACTGGATGAATTTAACTACCTACGAGTACGCAAATTTTCTACGAAGAAAAGTTCATAACTGCCTTCATATAATCGTTTCGCAGATTTCGAGCACAGAGATTTAGAATCAGCGTTTCGATATGCACCTTATGGTATACATCGCCTTTTACAAGGCCGGGGTAGCCAAGTATCGTTCCCTTGTTAGAGATACCAATCCCTGTTTCAAAAAAAAAAAGTTTTGCTATCCTTATTGTACCTTCTTTTTTAGTGGATGCGGAGGAAATGCGAACAGATTTATGCGACGAGTCAACTGTCGTAATCGTTGCGTGAAAAATAAGGATAGCTTGGGAAAGAGTATCGAGCCACCGAAGAAACTTTCAGTGGTTGAACGCAGCAGCAATGTGAGTCAGTAATAAAAATGTACACGCCAAAAATTGGAAAAAAATGCTGCAAAAGTGGCTTTGATACAAAATTTTTTAGGATACAAAAGTTTTTCAAACTCATCCAACAACTACCACGAGTACGACGAAGCTGTGGACTACTGCTGCTACTGCATTGACTTCTAAAACTGCAAGAACGGCTTCGGTAAAAAGGATCGAAATTACAAAGGTGTGCTTTTTGGGTTTTAAGGTATGCCAGTGGGCTAAAACATGTTGGAGCCCTTGTTTTCAGGCTAGCCCGAACATTCGCAGTTGTCCTGATTGCGATCCTTTCTATGGCATCTGCGAAGAGGATGGCAAATGCGGGTGTATTCCAGGATTTCGAAAGCTCGGCAAAATTTGCATAGGTGACTTACTGCAAGAAAAACCTTTTGAAACTGAAGCTAGTTTAGATGTAAATGAATGCAACCGGCCAAATGCTTGCCCTCCCAATGCCCATTGCGTTAACACTTTGGGCTCATTCCGTTGTGATTGTCCAGCCGGTTTCGGCCCTGATGGTGATTGCGCTGTTAAGAAAGGTAAGAACTGAAATGTCATGAAGGTAGCGTCTACACAAAATTGAATTCCGCTCTTGTGAAGAAGTGAAATTTTGGGAGCTTAAAACTACTAGTTGTAATTTTTGGCGCAAACAAACGCTATTTTCCGAATTTGAATAGGCTATTCAAAAAAGGAACGGGAAAAGCAAATCGCTCGCACGAGTTGCATCAGGCAAAGTAAGAAAATTTTGGGAAACAAAAACCTTGAGGCAACTAATCGTCGATCAATTTTCTCTCTAAAACATGGCTCAGTCTGCATCGTAATGTTTTGAAATGCATCAACTGTTCTTCTCATCGCAATCATTTCTGATCATAGGAATCGGGAAAAAACACAAAAATTATTTTTGATTATGATACCAATGATGGTGTAGCACGAAGTAACGAAAGTGCAACAAATTTTTTTCTGCACTCTATATTTTTTAATTGAGAGAAATTTTGAAAATAGAAGAAAAAGCAAATAGAAGAAAAAGGATGTACATTTTGGGTGGTGTCTGGAAGCTAGCGAACGGCTGTCATTTTGAAAGGAGTGATATACTTTGCTATGTTTTTTCGGCATGAGCGGAAATTCTTTGATCAAAAACCCCTTCCAATATCTTGACGTTGCACTGAGTTCATTTTTTGCTTCCTTTATGTTCGATAACTGGATTGTGAGTTTTGGACATTTTAAATTCGATTGACAAGATCAAAATCAATTTTGATTTAATGATAGGAAATTATCATCTTATACAGTCGCTTCATTTCATATGATCATGTGTGTCACTGCACACACAGTTCACCTTTGGCGTCCCCATCCTGGATTCGTGGGGGAAACAAGCCTTCAGGTAAGTGTTTCCAAGGTGTTCTTAGCATTTTCTTTCCTTTTCGGTTACTAGTCACCTCAAATTGATGTAATCGATAAGAATCGGTAAGTCTCTTGCGTTTTTGCGATTGCAAATCCAGGATGAGGACGCCAAAGTGGTTTATGTGTGCAATGGCACACATGATCATATGAAATGAAGCGACTGTATATAAAGCTGAATGTCTGTTTGTCTGTCTGTATGTCTGTCTGTATGTCTGTCTGTCTGTCTGTGTGTACGTATGTTCCGAATAGAAAATTCCATTTCTGAACCGATCCGGACCAAACTTGGCACACATACACTACGGGCCCCGGCGGGTGTCATAGGCTACTTTTCGTCATCGATCGATATCGATTTTATCGATTTTTATCGATTTTTTTGCTGAGTTCACCTACGGGGCTGGGAGTTGGCACAGGGGGGTAATCGAGCATGGGGATTCCGAATACAATATTGGTTTTCAGGATTATCGATTGCTTTTATCAATTTAATCGATTTTTTTGCAAAGTTTGAGCTACGGGGCTGGGAGTTCGCACAGGGGGGTAATCGAGCATGGGGATTCCGAATACAATATTGGTTTTCGGGATTATCGATTACTTTTATCGATTTTATCGATTTTTTTGCAAAGTTTGAGCTAGGGGGCTGAGAGTTGGCACAGGGGGGTAATCGAGCATGCTGATCATCCCCAAGGGGGGTGATCAGCATGCTCGATTACACCCCTGTGCCAAATTCCAGTCCCCTAGCTCAAATTTTCAAAAAATCGATAAAATCGATAAAAGTAATGGACGATCCTGAAAACTAATATTGTGTTCGTAATCAGCATGCTCGGTTACCCCCCTGTGCAAAATCCCAGCCTCGCATGTCAAAATTTACAAAAAATCGATAAAATCAATAAAAGTAATCGATAATTCTGAAAACTAATATTGTATTCGGAATCTCCATGCTCACTTCCCCCCTGTGCCAACTCCTAGCCCTGTAGGTGAACTCTGCAAAAAAATCGATAAAAATCGGTAAAATCGACATCGATCGATAACGAAAAGTGGACTGTGACACCCGCCGGGGCCCGAAGTGTATGTGTGCCAAGTTTGGTCCGGATACGGCGGAGCCGGGTAAGCCAGCTAGTAACAAATAAATTATTGTTCTAATAAACAGACGAGTATCAACTAATAACAAAATTTTACGA